TATTTGCATTTTCTTACCACAACAAATATACTTATTTGGCTTAGTAGGTACAAACTTGGGTTTCAAGCACTTTACACAGAAATCATAAGCAAACTCTTTACATTCATGCATCGTATATAAAACAAATATTTTAACTTAGTAATGTGGGGCACCAGTAAGGCCCGTAGAGAGCTTTTTGAATCGAATTACGCAGGTAATACCCAGAACGACCTTACGGGTAATACCCGCGGCCGACGCACGTACGTGAGCGCGGGGAATACCCATGTAATTCCGGGGGGTGGCCGCGAGTCCGCCTACCTGCTGCTCTGTACTTCAAATTTTTTTGGGTTTTTTGCCCTACCCCCCCCCCCCTTCTCAAAAATCTAATGGTCTGCCCCTTAGTGGGTTTGCACTGAAACTTACCAGTACTTTATTCTTTATTTCAGAGAACTTTATCCAGCTTTTGAGAGCAACCTTCAACACGATGCTCAAGAGTTCCTGTGCTCTCTAATAATGGCACTACAAGAATCTGCTACAAGCAAAGCTAAAAACAACACTAACCACACAAACTGTAGCCAGTCATTGTATCAGCCAAATAGCAACCACAGCAAAGCTATCGAATCTAAATGCAACATCCTCAATGTCTCTGACATAAACGGCTCTATACCTTGCTGCATAGAGCATATGTTCCAAGGTAAACTAGTTCACCAGACGAAATGCCTTAATTGTGAAGAGTCTAAGCTGAGGTATGAAGACTTTCAAGACGTAAGTGTCCCTGTCGTTGAAGACCAGCCTTATTTAGATGCGAGAAAAAAGCTGATGTTGTCTCCCACGCCGAAGAAAGACAAGGAAAGTGTTCATACTTTGCAATGGGCAATTGGACAGTTTGCGTCGAGTGAATGCCTTCAGGGGGACAACAAATACTTCTGTGAAAACTGCAATACTTACTGCGAAGCTGAGATCAGGACTTGTTTTGATCGACTTCCTGGTGTTTTGACTATTCATTTGAAAAGATTTACTTCTTCTGTTGGGTAAGTTTTAACCATATATTATGTATTTACATACTCTATGATACACTGTTCCTTCCCATCAGCCATTGCAGCATGGGTGTATTTTCAATGGTGTGGTATGAAATAATAGTTTTACAATGTTTTCTCGTGGCACGATGGAATATCTTACTCATCAATTGTATTTTTTTGGTAAACACACTTGTCAGTGTGTTTACTATAAATAAAGTCACCTCAGGTGATATCTTTGTTTTGGTGGGGGGGGGGGGGCAATTTTGATATTAAAATCTTTGAAAGCTTGGAAGATCTTCAAGGTTTTAGTGTATCTAAATTTGTGACTTCAGGCCATAGAAGTATTAAGATTGATACTTTAAGGAATTAATTTTACATGTTTTGACTTAAAGGTTGCTAGCTGCATATTAATTGCCCCCCTGTCAACTCCAAAAAGCCACGTGATTGATATAGTAAGCAATATAGGGGATACAAGTGACATGTGCATGGTATTTTCAATGATGTGGGATATATACTAGTTATACAATGGCTTTGAGTTGTGTACCATGCGTCACTCTGAGTATACGAAGAAAATACAAGTGGTATATTCCATATTAGCATATAACAACTTGCGTACTTCCTAAGAACGTGCGCGCTCATTGGTTAATTGGAGGTGAATATTGTACGATATTCACCTCTGAATCTCGGAATATTGAGTCGGCAACAAAATGGCATCGGCCGGCAATCGTTTTGCTACAATTTCCGATGACGAAATTGGAAAAATGAAAGTAAATGCCATTCCTATCAATACTAAAAAGTCAACGAAGTATAGCCTAAAAGTTTTGCTAAACGTTTTGCGTGAATTTGTCACGCAAACTGCAAGTTTCTGTTTGTTTGTTTTTATTGAATTATTGTATATAAAAATATGTTACTCTGTACACAAGTTGGTATATGCTAAAACAATATCGCCTCAGGCTCAGTGAATATTGGGGAATGTCTACCTCGCCGCTCGAAGACTCGCGTCTCGATAAATATTCCCCGATATTCACTTCGCCTTCGGCGAATAATTGTTAAGTATACCACTCAAAACCATTGTATAACCAGTGTATATTTGTATCATCCAGATTATCATCCAAGATTACTAGCAACCTACAAACTCCTTTTGTTCTATCGGTCGAAGAGTGGTGTTCTAAGAAGTGTCAAATGGATAGCAATGTGTATGAGTTGTTTGGAATTGTGGTACACAGTGGAATGACTTCAGGTAGTGGGCACTATGAGACGTATGTACGGCTTAGTAAAGACCAAGACAGGAACTATGAACAGAAACATACTGTAAGAAGTGGAGACGTGCACGATTTGAAAGAAATGAAGCACGATTTTAATGGATCCGTTGAAGCAAGTTGTTTTGAAGAGAATAGTGACGAGAAGTGTAGCGAGAGCCATGCTTCATGCAATGGAATTAAAAATGCTCCTAAGATAGACGTTAATGGGAATTGCATTGTCGAAGAAAATGAAATCAAACCCAAATTAAGAGGAAAAAGTAAGAGAAAGAGAACTAGAAAGGCAGACGATGAGAATATGAAGATTGAAAATGGCGCTGAAGTATCCGAGAAGAGTCCCGAAGGTAGCAAAGAAGCAAAGATAAAGAAAGTAGGAGACAATACTTCGGTAGAGGCGGTAGAAAGTCCCTCAGAAAAACAAACACAAGCCCGGACATCTTGTATTTCAGTTATTACTAGATACTTCCAAAGATCAAGGAAAGTATCTTCCGGGAATCGACCGAAAAAAAGTTCTAAAAATCGAGCAAGCAATGAAAATAATTCAAACTCGGGTAAGAATATCGAAGACGAGTCAAAGGACAATGGTTCAGAAGTCGAAGAAAACGAAGAAAAGCTACAGGAAATAGCTTCGAATGAAAAACCTAAAGGCTGCGGAAGCATAGAAAGTTACTTCAAGAAAACGAGTTATAAGTCGCATGGGAAGAACACTGCAAAATCACCTGCAATTCGCAAGCTACATTTTCAAGGGAATTCTGACGAAAACCCAATTTGTAACGGCAATTCAGATTCACATAAAGAAACAGGAACGACAGAAAGCCAAAACAGTAGCTCTGACGAAGAATTTCAAAGAACTGGCAGCAGTTGTTATGATGAGAGCTTAAAAACTGGATGGGTCCATTTTGACGACTGTACTGTCGCCTCGCTATCAGAGCAAGACATCCTTTCTATCTTATCGTCATCAGACTCGTCTTTTACTTCACCTTATCTACTCTTTTATCGAAAGATTGAATTGAAAAACGAATGAGTATTTCACAAACTATTTCTAAACATCACAATAGCTATGTTGGACAAGAACAATGCAACTTTCTATTCAAAAGAAGCCGTATCTTTTTTTATTTAATTTTTGTACGGCATTTCTTGACAGTGGTTTAAAATGCCCATATTTTTTTCTAGCCAACCAAGGTTTTAGCCCATGGAACATTTTGAAACTACAGCTATTTTTTAAAAGATTGCATGGTGAAGGTTTTGTCGTATATTGTATGTTGCCGCATAGCAAGCCAGTACTGCACTATGGGTGGTGTGAATGAAATCAGCGAAAGGACGAAATAATATGGTATTTTCCCAAACTTTTTCTGCATATTTTCGGCATATTTTTTGGTTTAAGAATAATACATTTTTCAAGCTTAGAAAGCAACTTGCGAGGATTCGGCATGCAACAAAACCTTTACCAGCAATTTTTGAAACAGCTGTATTTTCTAAGATTTCCATGTACGTTCTACTAATACCAATTATAAAACAACTGTTGTGAATGTCGCGTTCTGATTGGTTTGGTGCGCGTGCTTTGTGAGAGCACATTGCACACACGCGCACTTTCCGTTGCGTCATTCCTATCTAAAATAACGTTTATCGCAATTTGTATCTTATAAAAGAAATAAAAAAACTTGCTTGCTGTGCTGTGTGCAGTTATAAAGCACTTGGGACACGTGTCCAGAAGCACTCCGCTACGCGTCGTGATTCTTCTAACACTTATCTCATGTTCTGCCAACCCCCGTGCTTTATGACTGCACACAGCACGCTTGCGCGTTTTCCGGCTATTTCTTCAATACTGTATTCCTGTTCGCAAGCTGCAGAATGCAAATACAGTAGATCGATTTTAAATAATTCAGTTATACATTCAATTGCAAAGTCATTGTCAGGTCAAAAACATAGAACATAGAAGCTGAGACCAACATGGAATATGGGAAATACGTTAATTAGAAGTATCTAGTGATACAACTCGTGGGATGTTCATCGATTGTTGCACTGAAAGAAAGAATGGAGGCTTTTAAAACATGTTTCATATCAACTGTGTATACTGCAAATGAATACATCATAATTATGTCATGTCCCAGAATACCTTGAAGTCTCAGCTTCTGTTTTCTGTGTTTTAAACCTGACAGGGTTTTGCATTTGGATGTTTATGTATATCATATTTCAATCTTAACACGTTTCAGTATAATGTCTTCATAGTGTTTATTCAATAAATAGTATTTTATTTGGTAGACTATAGCATTTGTCTAGGTAATGTATTGTATCCAAGATAAACTAAAAAGAGCAGAGTAACTATAAAGACTGTATTCCTGAGTTACAGATCCTTGTTTTCGAAGAGGTAGCTCTCCTTGGCCAATCCGAACGGTGCAATTTCGATAATTTATTTAGTTTCATCTCCATCTCTTTCACTCCTGCAGAAATAAGGTAAATAAGCATAGAGCTCTAGCAGTAAGTCTGACGTTATTCGTATGGAAAAAAACAATTTCCGGGTTCAAAACGAAAAGCAGGTCAATAAAGATTGTTCTTACTTTTACTTCATGACAGGATTTGTTTCCTCTCATTTGAATGTTTTAGACGCGAACAGGTAAATAAGACTCACTGTTCTTTTTATTTTGATGTTAATTAACGTGAGTTAATATGCAATATGGCAGAGAAACCGTTAAGGCTAGACCTTCAATGGCGACTTAACTGGTTTGAATGTCGTCAGATAATCTAAAACTGAAATTAATATTTATAGCCTACATCAATATTGATTTAACCGAGGTAGGATAATAACTTGAGCAAGATCATCTTTGGAATTTGTTTATTTAAACCTGCGGATGGACTTTATTGTGTTTTTTGTAATTTTGTGTTGGAAAAATCTAATCTCGAACTTCGCAAATTTGGAAAATATTCTATTCTGGAGGTTGCCTTGGAGTTTAGTGATTATGAAACTTTTTCCATCACATTTATCTAAGTTGTTATGAGAGGGGTAAAAAAAACGTTCAAATGATAAAGCAATTTTTAGGAGCAGAAAAGTGAGATTTACGAAAATAAGAATTTGAACTTAGTAAATTAACTAAACTACAAGGTTTTTGATCATGGACGCCCGTGGAATGCTTATACAGACATATCCTTGACAAAACAGTCTCCTTGAGTACTGGAGTGTATGATCTCTATGTTCTATAAAAATCTAAGATACGAGCGGGGGAAAATTATTAAAACCCTTTGGCAGTTTCTTAGACCTTTCAGTTAAAAGAAAACGCTCTTGAATAATATTTACAGAAATGAGAAACTACACTAAAAGTAAACAACTTTTTTTTGCACGCGTTGAATTCGAACATGCCAAGAATGACATGACATCTCAAAGTGACTTGAGAAAATGGCAAAAAGAAGCATTTTAAATCCTTTTAAATATCTACTAGATAAAATCCAGGTATATTTCTGTTATAAACAGCTGTTCTTAAACTTCATTTTGTTCTTTTACAGTATATAAGAAAGATTAAAGAAGAGCTTGAAAAATTAAGATCATAACGGCTATTTTAGATTTTATATAGTGCACTTTCTCATTCTTCCGGAAAGCAGCTGAACACTCCTTCGAATTTAAGGCAAAACATGGCAAGAAGAAGCATAGTTTTCATTTCGTTCGATCCTACTTGATAAAATCCAGGTATATTTTATAAACAGCTACTCTCAAACTTCGCATTTTTGTGCAGTAGATAAATGGATTTAAAGCAGAACTTGCGAAGATTATTGTAATGGCTATTTCGTTGTTTTCTATGGTCCATTTTTTTCTTCCGAAAGCTGCTAAACAAACTTTTGAAACTAAATAAGGAAACGAGCACACAAAGAAAAGAATAGAGATGTAAAAAGAGCTTAGAATAGTCTTTTTCAAGCTCGATAAGTTTAATTGAGGTGGCATATTTTTCACCGGTTGCTCATTTTCGCCTTTAGATTCGTCTCGAGATTCTCTTGATATAGCCTGCTTGCTTCTACTTGCATTTGTCCTTGCGTCTTTGTCGCAAGATAGTTCTGCTAATGTCCTTGAAGGAGATAATATTTCTTGTTTTTGAAGTGTTATTTGGCCTGAATTATCTTTTTCAACTTCATTTTCTATTCGTTTTAAATCAACTGTTGGCTGAATGTTGCATAGACTTTGTATTTGCCTTTGATGTCGGCGCACAATTCTGTATATGCACAGGTAGCAAATTACTACAATGATTAGCAAAATGGTTGTCGCTATAGCCGATATCGACTGAAAAAGCTCGTGGTTCCAATGATAAGTCAGCGTAAACGGGACAACAGAAATCCAGATCTTTATAATCACGAGCGAAATTCTTTTCGATGTCACAAGTTCAGCGTATCTTAGATGTAAGCACAAGCTTAGGAAGCGGTCCACGCTTATAGCGGTAATCGTAAAAACAGACACGCCAGATAAGTAAATTGAAGCGAATAAAGTAAAAGGATGGATCTTAGACTCTAGTTCATCAAGTTTTAAAAGTATAGTAGCAGTTCTTGAGATACGTAGAGGCAATGCAAACAACCCAACACAAATATCTGAAACTGCAAGACTGCAAAGAAGAAAATTCGACGGAGTTTGTAGAACAGGAGTTCTTTTTATCGCAAAAACGATACAGAAATTTCCAATTAACGCTGGAAAGACTAGAATTGAATTCAGAATTGTGATAACGAGGAAAGAGGTTTCCAGGTTGTATTGAACAACGAAAGACGAAGCTGCTGTTTCTGTAAGGTTTAAAACTTGGGTCATGATTTCGGTCTCATTTTTCGATGAAGCTGTTGAGACGTTCATTGTGAGCTCTTGCCTGCTTTGAGGTAATATTATTACTGAGGATCAAAATTAATAAGTGAGTAGTACTTAAACTGATATTGATGGACAATGTCAAGGCTTTTTTTTATGTCGTAATTAAACTATATCTTTTGAAATTGATATTTGTTACCACAAAAAACTCTAAAAACTTTATTAATTTTTACAAATATTTATCCTTGTCCACGCAAACAATGTAAAAACGAAATTGCAAAGTCGCTTCTTTTAATTTTGATTCATAAAAACACTTTTCTATATCGCCAATTTTGACCACGACTGACGTCCTCCAAATTGAGATAGAACTGAATTGAATTGTCAATCTGACTTTAAATCAAAATATGAGTTATAAGGAATAGAAAACTAAGATATTGCACAATATTTTGATTAAAGAATTTGAGGGGTTCCTTGAAAAATAAAACATATATCTCACGAAACCTTAGTTTATAAGTTTATTAGTGTTTGTAAGCCTTTATTCAGTAAACATGCTCTTTACGTCAGCAACAGCTTGAAACCATATTTTTTTATTCCACTGCGATAAAATACTTTTAGCCGAATTTGAATTCGAAACAACTGAATTAATTTTTTTGACTGTAGGCCCCATATGAAGTAATGGTTTCCCATTTCAGACCCATCTTTTATTTTAGTTTTACTGGTACTAAACAAAGTGAAGCACTAGATTGCAAAATATATATCCATGAAATAGTACTAAATAATGAAGTGAATGAAACAATTGAAAAAAAAAAAAAAGATTTTGGTTGTGAAATGTGATCGTCCGGGTGAGTCAGTGTAGCTAGTCTTGAGAAAGACTGTTGTTTGTGTGGTGACTGATGTTTCGACAACCTGAGCGGAACTCATCTTCAGAGTCCAGTTTGAAAACGTTTCTCACTCAGTGGACTCTGAAGATGAGTTCCGCTCAGGTTGTCGAAACATCAGTCACCACAAACAACAGTCTCAAGAATACACTCACCCGGACGGTCACATTTCACATCAAACCTTCAACACCTGGGTTCAAACCATTATAAGAAATAGAGTGTTTAACTCTATTTAGTTTTTGTGCTATTTCACGTTAATATGGTTTGCGCTCTAAGTGAATGACATGTTCCTTAGGATGGGAAAGCGTACCAATTCAGTAGAATTCATTCCAAAAATTCTCCAAGAAGATGAATCTCCAAAAGATGAATTTTTGAAATTTAAAAATCCTCTATTATGTTGCAAAAAATAGCATAAATTGTCGGGAAATTCCAATTACCAAAATCATATATTTTAACTGAATAACGATATCTGAGATGTTGTTTCAGCTATATCTCCTATCTTATGTGTTCTTGAATGCAGCGATCAAATTATCGGTATTTCAGAATTTCAAAATTTGTTGGCATCATTCATAACGTCATTTTCCCTCCCATCTTGTTGTCTCGACATACATTGTCATGTTGCCACAAGGGCGGATCCAGGGAGGGGGGGCAAAGGGGGAATGAAGCCCCCCCTTCAGCTGAAAAAAAAATAAAAAAATTGAAGAATTATATGCTTTTTTTATTGTTTTCCGTTGTGTTGACAGAAAAAACCCAATTAGCCCCCCCTAAACTCAATTAGCTCCCCCCTAAAATTTTGGCGGGATCCGCCCTTGTGCCATATGTTTCATTGACTAATTCAAAACTGTGAAGTTATATAGCCCCGACACCTTTGGGCTATTATGTGCCCACTGTAAAAATGATATTGTAATATCTACAAACATAACAACAATAGAAAGACTTCACACCTTGTCCAGGCCGTAGCGGTTCTAAGAAGAATGACTTGGATTGTTTACTTAACCCTTGCGTAAAAGCGCAGCTTATTCTATCGATCTGAGGTCGACTGCCTCGTGTCCGTGATACTTGCATTTACACCGTAAAAATACAAAACTTACCAACCCACCAACCCACCAACCCACCAACCCACC